TAAACATCTCTGACTTTAAAAAGCTTTTTGGTGATATTTTCTTTCTTAATGGAAAAGTAAATCTATTCTGAAAATAAAATACTTTGCTGAGCTATTTCTTTAAATATAGTAGTAAAACTTTTTGGAGATTTTAGACACTTGAAGGCATTAATCCTTACTACCTTTTCACTTTGGCAGTTACCTGGTGTGTTTCTCTGATTCAGCTGTGTCATAGGTATCTCCTGCAGCCTGCTTACTGGGATGCTAGTTGGGATGTTTTGAGAGTATTTGAAATATTCCACCTGAATCAAAAGGGAAATGCTAAGAAAGATGACATTTTAGAGCAGGCATCCATTACCTCTCTCATAACTAAGAAGGCATTTTAAATGAATATCAGAACATTTATTTTAAAACACAAACAATTAAATACCCCATCTGAATACTCCAGTCAACACATACGGCAAGCAGATTAAGGGCATCCATCTGCTGATCGGAGTACTCATTTTCAGCGTAGTGGCCTTCTTTATTATCATTGCAGCAGTAACCTAAATAGCTCTATTTCTTTCCCTGCAAATCTTTTCATTGTTTGTGCTAATTGTTTTAAGAGAGCTGCTATGTCTTTTGGCATGGGAAAACGTGTTAAAAAACCCGATGCCCTACATTTTCACCCTGTAATTCAAAAAGAAATTAAAAAAAGATTAGAGATTAAAGAAAACCTACGTAACAGTAAAGCTCATGACAGAAGAAGAAACATAAAGACGTAAACCCCTTGCTTTCTGTCAACAGCTCTTGGCAGTGGCACGGTGCAGCAGAGCGCCTAAACCACCACTGCCAATGCGATCTGAAGAGGCTACTGGAGAACTGGCGCTGCTGGTACAGTTCGCTCTGTGCAGCAGTAGATGGAGCTAATTAACTACTCTTCATGATTGAATGAGCCCATGTAAATGGTAAATGCTAGTTAAGGAGGACTCTAGGGAAAAGCCATTACAAGCTGACATTTGTAGTATGGTAACTAGGTCATGTTTGGAGTGACAGATTAATTAAATCACACAAAACAGCATTGTCAAGTGGACTGTTGAGGACTTCTGTTTTTCACCCTGAAGTTGAGGCTTCTCAAACCTAGATTGTTTTTTCCATTATTTTAGCCACCTAAATTGTTAACATATCCTGCCAGTCTGCAATGTAACATCAGGACCACAGTACTTCGCATTTGCAGCCTGAATTTTATACCCTTCTGTCCCGGTTTTCTCCTGCAGGTTACAGTGTTTCAAATCAAAGTATTATAGTAGCTCAGTATTTCAAGGCAGGCAGAGCAGTGGCTGCAACAACAGTTTTCCTATAAATATTTATGAATCCTATATAATTGTTCCCAGGTCATTCACTAACACACCACTAGCAGTTGACACAAGGATCAAATTAATTTTAAAAGCCAGTTCAAATCTTTGGAAAAGTTTCCCTGGAAGATAGGGTTTGTTGAAATGATGGGAAACTGAGATGTGGGAGTCTTCTAGGCTGATTAAACAGGTTGCTTCAAGGACAAGATATCTTAACCTGAGAGCTGAGGACTGAGTGGATTCTGCTCACTTCAGAGAAGTGGGTGCTTGACAGCGCTTAAAGCAGATAAGCTTGACGTGATTTCGAAGTCTGTAATGGATTTGCCATTACTTGTTATATAACTTTATAATTAGAACCAGGGCTCCACTTTAATAATATTGCCAAATTCAGCTTTTCATCAGTTTCCATCTGGAGACATCTTTCTTCCCCAATCCCATCTGACAGTCAAACTTTCCATCCTCAGAAAGATAAGGGGACATTCAGGGCCATTTCTGTCTCTTGATGTGAGTTTACTCATATAATTTGGGTTCTGGGTTTTTTTCCAAAATGGAATGGGATCTGTTTTCCCATTCGAGATCAAACACAGCCAGAACTTCAGAAGACAAAAACCCATAAGATTTTAGCACCATCACATGTGTACACAAACCATAACCTGATTAATTTTCAAACTCTGCTCTGAATTTAAATTTAATCCAGGTTCAACCACTGGATAACTTCATCACTATTAATGCACAAACAGCCACAGCACTGTTACTTCCCTTGCTGTAGCAGGTAATTTTAGAATCACAGAATCACAGAATGTTCGGGGTTGGAAGGGACCTCTGTGGGTCATCTAGTCCACCCCCCCTGCCAAAGCAGGGTCA